TGCCAAATATCGGCCGATATATCGGCCTTGGCGATATATCGGTCGACCACTAAATATAATCATAAATAAAATGTTCATGTTTAATATTTTGTTGAGAATCCTTTGACTGCCTTGCGTCTGTAACTCATGGACATCAGCAGAGACTGGGTTTCTCTTTTGTGATGCTTTGCCAGGCCTTTACTGCAGCTGACTTCAGTTGTTGTGTGTTTGTGTCTCTTTCTGCTTTAGTTTGGTCTTCAGCGAGTGAAATGCTGCTCAATCGGGTCGAGATCAGGAGATTGACTCAGCCATTGCAGAATAATCCACTGTTTTACCTTCTAAAACTCCTGGGTTGCTTTTGCTGTGTGTTTTGGGTCATCGTATATTTGTACTATGAATAGGGCCCTATGATTTCTGCGATGTGGAAAACGCGGAATCCAGTCATAAAAACAGAATTTACTGAATAACGTGGAATGTCACGGAATTTGTCAAATTTTGAATGAATTGACCACTAAATATAATCATAAATAAAATGTTCATGTTTAATATTTTGTTGAGAATCCTTTGACTGCCTTGCGTCTGTAACTCATGGACATCAGCAGAGACTGGGTTTCTCTTTTGTGATGCTTTGCCAGGCCTTTACTGCAGCTGACTTCAGTTGTTGTGTGTTTGTGTCTCTTTCTGCTTTAGTTTGGTCTTCAGCGAGTGAAATGCTGCTCAATCGGGTCGAGATCAGGAGATTGACTCAGCCATTGCAGAATAATCCACTGTTTTACCTTCTAAAACTCCTGGGTTGCTTTTGCTGTGTGTTTTGGGTCATCGTATATTTGTACTATGAATAGGGCCCTATGATTTCTGCGATGTGGAAAACGCAGAATCCAGTCATAAAAACAGAATTTACTGAATAACGTGGAATGTCACGGAATTTGTCAAATTTTTAATGAATTAATCAAAAGTAGGTCATTACACTTAAATCAAATTGCCATATGGACTAGTATCTGTAAATATTAAGCCACAAAAAGACATGAATCCTGCATGTTCTGCGTGTCTCTGTGTGAATGAATCACGACGCGCGGTTTTGTTTACTACACAAATACTCTCTAGGGGACATAAATACATGAACATCATCTCCAGAACTGCTCTGAGAGTCACTTAATGAGCATTTCATTTGAGTAAAACTAGCGTCATATCTTACATACACAGAATTGTAAAGGTATTCACGGCAACCCGTCAAAATAAAAGTTCGGTTTAACTTGAAGACATTGAGCCAGAAATACATTGTTTGAATGTACATACTACTACTACTACTAGTACTAATACTAATAATAAAATTAAAACTTTTGATAAAACATTTGATATCCAGTAAAATTTAAATTCACAACAGAATTTCTGAGGAAAATAAAAACATTTTATAAGGCTATTGTAAGAATACATTTGAATAAATTAAGTTGTTAAAGTTGTTGAAATCGAAATATACAAAATACGAAATATGAAGATTTTTCAGTTTATATACACATATCAGCTTTAATGCACTCACCACAATAACAAAAGCAGCCTACGATCAAGTTTCAGAGCAGATCAGGGTTTGTGGGGGTTTTCTGATGGCTCTGAAGGGAGAACACAAATTACAAAAATATTTAGTGAGAGAATGCGTCATGAAAGAGCAAAACAGACACTATTTTTGGAAACAGTGGCCAAAATGAGTATTCGATTTAATTTAAAATGTATAATTTAACTTACAATCTGCAAAGGAGTGGGAAAATATGTTCAAATACTTCATTTAATGTCAAAGAACTTCTCAAAATATGCAAAATAAGCTTTTTTTCACAAAATCTGTGATTTTCTCTTACTGTTTGGATGATGTAAAATAACATCACACATGTGAAAATGGGCTGAGAATTGAACAGATATTTGTAATCTGGCTCAGATTCAGACAGGAATCATGTGTTTGCGGTGTTTTTCTGCTGCGCCTTCACTGCACAAACGATTCTCAAAAGCAAAAATGCAACAAAATGCATCATATTTAGTGAGAAACTGTGACGTGAAAGAGCAAAATAGATGCTATTTTTGGAATCGGTGCTTAAAATGAGTTTGAAAAGAGTACTGGATTTCATTCGGTAGATTTGATGCATCATTAAAATCAAGTCAAACCACCAGACAATCTGCAGAAACACTGACTAACATCTTCCCAGAAGCTGATCTCACGGATTTCTCCCAGAGAATCTCCCAGCATGCTTCAGGGAAACGGCCCCGGCGTCAGCGGTGTTTCTGTCACGCGCTTTCCTCCCATTCAAACCTCAAACAATAGAAACGCTGTGACTCTCTGCGGTTTCATCCTTCAGACGCACGATTCTAATAAAACTTTGAGTCAACAAAACCTTCAGAACTAGAGACGTAATAAACAAAGGAGAGCCAGATTAAAGGCACAGCTCACTCACAAAATCATCATTCTCTCATCATCTAATCAGATTCATGTCATTCAAAACCTGTATGATTTTCTCTCTTCTGTGAAAAGGAGAAATTTTAAAGAATGTGCTCGTCATTCAGTTACAACAAACAAAGACTGAAACTCCAAAAATGACAAACAAGCAGCATAAAGAATCATAACAGCAGTCCAAATGACTCATATGATGCTTTACATGCGAAACAGAGTGATGAGAGAAATAGTGGTTTCATTGATGAACAAATCGACAAGATAATTTTGAACCAGTTGATTAGCTTCACAAAACCTGCTTAAACGATTCACTCACAAATAGGATTGATCCAGTTCTTGAGTTCAACTTACTGATTCAATGAATCTTTTGAATCAGATGATTCGTTAAAAAAAATCTGCTTAAATGATTCACTCAAACCAGACTGATTCCGTTTTTGAGTTCAACTCACTGATTCAATTAATCTTTTGAATCAGCTGATTCACTTCAAAAAAATCTGCTTAAATGATTCATTCATAAACCAGACTGATTCAGTTCTTGAGTTCAACTCACTGATTCAAAGAATCTTTTGAATCAGCTGATTCACTTCAAATAATCTGCTTAAATGATTCACTCATAAACTAGACTGATTCAGTTCTTGAGTTCAACTCACGGATTCAATGAATCTTTTGAATCAGATGATTCACTTGACAAAATCCACCTAAATGATTCACTCACAAATCTGAATGATTTAGTTCTTAAGTCCAACTCAAATGCTTTAAACGCATCACATGAGTCATATGGACTGTTGTGAATCTTTCACGTCTTGTTTTGTTTTTGAGTGAAAAAGCATTATTTGTGGATGATTTTGGCTCAAAGGTGCACAAGATCAGATGAAGAAAACTATTGGATGAAAAGATTAAAAAAAAGTCAATTATATCATGACAAGAAATTCATAAACAATTATGAATCCTAGGCTGATATTTTTTGACTGGGAACAGCACAAGTGTTAGGTGAGGGGGAAAAATCCCCTAAAAAGTACAAAAATTTAGGGATGCACCGAAATGAAAATTCTGGGACGAAAACCGAAAATGCTTTGTAATGACTATTTATTATTTCATTAAATAATATAAAGTAATTTTGTAAGACTTTTTAATTTAACTCAATAATTTTAATGATACTGAATTTAAAAAACACAAGTCAATAAAATAACCACACTTTTACTGAAAGTAACAACAAAACTGGACAGAATTTATATTAATATTGGTAACACTTTACAATACGGTTCATCAGTTAACTACTTTAGTTAAAGGGGTCATATGATGCTTTTTTAAAGATCATTATTTTGTGTATTTGGTGTAACAGAATATTAAAATCAACAGTTGTGCTTGTTAACAGTTAATGCACTCTGAATTAACATGAACTAACAGTGAATAACTCTATTCTCATTAACTAACATTAACAAAGATTAATAATTCGAAAATTCGGTGAATCCCTAAAAAAATTATAAAAAGTTTTTGGGGGAAATTTTTATAGCCTGCATGTGTCAGTAAGTTTTAGTCCAATTCAATAATATAAACTAGCATTTTCTGGAAAAAGAAAATCCTCTCTGACCAGAACACATAAAAACAGGGTTATTATAGTTAACTAGAGCTGAAACTAAAAATAAAACCATTTAACATTTACTTTGTTACTTGAAATAAATATTAACTGAAATAAAAATCAATAAAATAAAAATATAAAACACTTTTTATTTCAGCGACTTACCAAGGCACAATATCTCATTTTATTTTAGTTTAACTTACTGTTCTAA